ATATTGATAGCAGACCTTGCCACGGCCTCAGGTAGTATGCACCAGGCGATCGTTCTCGATCTGAAATGTGACATCGCTAAGCATGAATCTGCTGTTGTGGCTTCAGCGCCGATGATCCAGGCCGATCTTACAGCTAAACTTGGTCAGTGGGCAGGCCCGAAGGCCGCTCTGACCGAGCCTGTTGCCACCAACTGAGGAGTTGATTTCGCTGCGGGGCCGGGCGAAGGAAGAATGGAAGGACAACTCTCAAGGCCAGGAATGGGACGTTAAAGAACCGACCCCGCAGATTACGAGCCCTTCGCGCCGCGGGAGCAGGCGCCAATCAGATTTGGAACGCTGGCCTTCAGCAGGCTGGCTATTTCGGGACCGACATTCTGGGTCTCACGGTTCAGGAACTCCAGGATGCGCAAACTCTGTTCCTTGAGGTTGTGGGGCCCCAGCGCGCAACTCGGTCGCGCGCCCTGTCGCTTGCTGTTCTTGAAGACCCCGCCTGGACATCAGCAGTGGGGCCGTGCATTTATTGGATTATGATAGTTTTCAGGGCTGCCTTGGATCCATGGGATCACGAAACATTCTGGAGACATTCTGGAAAAGCCACCATCCGGACGGGGAAATATCAGAGGCCCCTTAGCTGTTGTCTGTGTACGTTTACCCACAGCTGGCTGGTCATGGATCAGTCCCGTGGAGCACATGAGCAGGGAAGGCGAGGTCTACCCGCTCATCGCCAGCTCGCCAGCTCTCATCCGTCGCATGCTCGAGGCATCTTGGCAGGAGCAGCAGGCCGAGACTGTGGCAGCAAAGATGGGAGCGCCCGCAGTTGACACGACTCATGCTAAAGCAGTTCTCGCCGACAAGTGATTTAACAAACAAGATCGTAGCCTCCTCGTTGCGTACCTGACCCAATCCATTTGGATCAAATGTAGACTCAAGGGCGCCGGCTACGACGCGGACGCGACTTGCATTTGTGGGGGCCCATCAGACCACATATACCACCGGCTCCCGGAGTGCCCCAGTATGGTTTTCCTGAGCCTCCGCCCTTTAAGGTCCCGGGGCTCATTGATCTTGGCCTTGCCGAGGCCCAGTTTTGGTCCCGAAATGGCTTTTCGCCTTCGGAAGCCTTTCTTGGCGAGGTTCACGTTGACGGCAGCGTGGCCCAGGACGGCCACCCGTGGTTCCACGCCCCAGAATGGGCTACGGTAAAATGTGATACCCGCGGAGAAGTTGAGGCTTACCTTTGTGGGCCAGTAGGTAGCGCTCTCCCGCCCACTTTCACTGCGGCGGAGTTTCTAGCGTACCTTTCCTGCAGCCAGTTCAGAGGAGTGATTAACATTCATGATGACTTCAGAGGTGTGGTGAATTTCCACAACTCGGGTCAGACCGCTAGTAGGAAGAATATGTACGACGCGCTGGACTCTATGGCCAGGTTAGGCAAGGCCAGTTGCGCAAGAGGTTTGAAGTTATCAAAGTTAAAGTCTATCAAGATTTAGAACCCCTGAATCGCCACTCTGACCCGTGGCGGCACACTTCGGGGAACGATGCAGCAGACAGAATTGCTCAACTAGCTGCTTCGCGCCTCCCCCAGCCCTCGGAAGGAGAGAGAGAGAGAGAGAGGGAGAGAGAGAGAGAGAGAGAGAGAGAGAGAAAATATATAGAGAAAGAGAGAGAGAGAGGGAGAGAGAGAGAGAGAGAGAGAGAGAGAGAAAGAGAGACGCCCAGCAGCAGCTCGAAAAGAGAAACAAACGTTTCCTTCGGCATGTGCCGAAGGCTCTTGCGCTGTGGCCCTCAGTTGCCCCGAGGGGGGGGGGGGGGGGGGGCTAGGTGGCCCAGACAAGGCAACAAACCCGCATGTAGGAGCTCGATCGATCGCGGAAGCGTGGCAAAGCAGAGCTAACTCGGGGGCGTCCTCTTCGGGTCCTGGAGCCGTGGCGGTTCCTCCCCCTCCTCGGCCCATTCGTGGGGCCCGTGCTCGTGCCCGTATTGGGCATGTGTGGACTTGGCAGAAAACACGTTGGTTCTGCTGCCTCTGCCACTCGCGATGCATGTCTGACAAAGTCAAACTTTCCCGAGCCAAGGAGTCGCGCCCTGGCAATGCAGCTCGGCTGGCCAGACTTATCAAGCAGCCGAATGGCTACAAGCTTGAAGTTTTCGACAGAATTGAAGATGAAAGCTGCGTGGTGTCTTGTCAGTAGCGCGGCAAGTATTCTGAGTGCACCGTCAAGAGCCTCCAGAAGAGCTGCCCCCAGGAATTCACTTTTACCGTTTCAGAAGGCGCTCGCGCGCGCCTAGCCGAGGGGAGACACCCAAGGGCCTCCAAAACTAGCCCCATTGTCTTCAACCCTCCTATCCCGATGGATGAAATTGTTGTCCAGGTAGCCCCGGCGCAGACAGGCCAACGCCAGGGATGAGGCTTGCCCACCGTCCTGGCGTTCTCTACACTAGTCGCCCTCGCGTCGCCGAGTCGTCCTGGCGTCGCCGTTCTCTGTGTACTTTGCGCGCGCGCGCTCCCCGCGCGCGTGTCAGGCGCCCCGACTCAGGGGGAAGGAGCGCTTCATGTGTATATTCTGCGGCGCTGGCCGCAGCTACGCCTAGGCCCGATGCAGGTTCCATCGGGGGTTTTGTTTCTCGTTCCGACTGGCGGTGCTGGCGTCTCGCAGCCCGACTTGGTACCCGAGCTTCGGGGCACCGCCAGCCAGGCGAGGCATGCCGTCCTTTTCACTGCAGAGTGCTGCTTTGGCGCAACCACGTTGCATGGCCTTTTGAGCTTGCTAGCCCCTCCCACAGACAGAGGCACAAGGGCCCCCATGGTTTTCTGGGCACGGGGGCGGACTCGGGCTGCAATGTCCACCCCGACTGCTGCCCAGGACCACCTTTCCACCCCCCGCCACAGGCGGCGGAGGAATGGGATGAAGTGCTCAGGTATGCTAGCGCCACATCAAGGCCCAACGGGGTACTTGTGCGTGTGTGCGTGCGCGTGAGGTCTTGCACGCGTGTCATGCACCCCGCCTCAGGGGGAAGAAGCGCTGCACACTTTCTTCTGCGGCGCAGGGCTGCAGTTCCGCCTAAGACCGCACCAGGTTTTCTTTCTGGGGTAGGAGTGTCGTCCTGGCTGACGACGCAGCCAGCCCTAGAACCCGAGCTTTGGGGTTCTGTCAGCCAGGGACGCCGAACCTCCCCCTTTTCACTGCGCGTGCCTTTTGCTTGGGTTGTCTGAGCACGGGGGCGGCCCTGGGTTGCGAGTCCGCCCCGACAGTGCCTCTGCCCCTCCTCTCCCCTTCCCACGACCTTGGGCGGTGGAGGTATGGTTCTGCTGAGGTTTGGTGTGCAAGGCCACGCCAGGCCCCAGAACCTCAATCAGCCTCGGCAGCGCACTGCCGTCTCAGCGGCACCCATGGCCGCTGTGGATTAACAATTGGTGGCCCAGTGCCACGAGGTTTCGGGTTAGGGTCGGGCCGGCCAACCTTTCGCCTCCCAATTAGCCAAGTGATGGTCCTCCTCCTCCTCCTCCTTCTCCTCCTCCTCCTCCTCTTACCCCTCCTTCTCTCGCACGTGCTAGGCCCCCGAAACTACATGGGGTCCGAACGAAATCGGGTCGGAGGGTGCCCTTGGGCGGATGCGCGACATTCGAGACATGTCAATATGGCTTCCAAAGGCAATGCATCCGTATCGTGCATCCTTGCTGTCAGTTTTGGTATAAGATCGAGGTCGGTTCGGGGAGGGTGCCCTCAGGTTCTTCGGGTTTGTTGGATTTTATTGTGCACCCGGGGGGGGGGAATATCGAATGTTTTTCAGTTTTGGCCAGCGCAGGGTCTCACGCTTAAGGATGTTAGTATGTCCTAGGTGCGGCCGTATGTGATGAGGTTTTGATCGGGCGACGTCAGCTGACCACCTCGCCTGTCCTGGCCAGGCCGATTCCTTGGCCCAGGGTGGGCCCCACCAAAAATTGGCGAGGTGGTCTAGGATGACGTCGCCCGAGATATTCTGCCCAGAGCTCGGCGTGGCACTTCTGCACAAGCCATCCGCATTCGGGCCAGGCTGCGAGAGAGTGGGGGCACAAGCGGGAGGAGGACGAGGAGGAGGAGGAGGAGGACGAGGAGGAGGAGGAGGAGGAGAAGGAGGGCGAGGAGGAGGAGGAGGAGGAGGAGGAGGAGAAGCTTGGGATGATTAAGGGCGGGAGGAAAACGAATACTTTACTCACCATGGTAAGGGTAAGAATGATAACACGATCCGAATACAAATAATAGTACTACGACAGTAATGCTGATAATGCTGATTCGAACAATCATCATCATCATCATCATCATCATCATCATCGTCATCATCATCATCATCATCATCATCATCATCATCATCATCATCATCATCATCATCATCATCATCATCTTCATCTTCATATTCATATTCATCTTCATCTTCATCATCAGCATCATCAGCATCACCATCATCATCATCATCATCAGCATCATCATCAGCATCATCCTCATCTTCATCCTCATCCTCATCCTCATCCTCATCATCTGCCGCATCATCATCAGCAGCACCAGCAGCATCACCATACGCATCGTCATCAGCATCAGCACCATCACCATAGTAATGGTAATATCCAGACCAGCATTACCAACACTGCTTGTACATGTATACGATCAATGGTGACAACAACAGTAATACGATGATTTGTACTAAGATGGAGAATATTGTTAATATCAACGATCCTAGTCATAGGAATAACGAAGCAGAATAACAATAATAATACGGAGGAAGGGAGAACTAGGTGGAGCAACCGGGGAGGATGAGGGGGATTGGGAGAGACGAGAAGGAAAGCGAGGAGAGGGGAGACTGAGGGAGGACTGGCAGCAGTTGAAGCCGGATAACGCGAGCATAGCGATAATGAGGAGCAGCGGGGTGGAGGAAGTGGAGGCGGAGGGTAAGTGGGACGCGAGAAAGCAGGGAGCCAGTCTCCTTTCTCTAGGTCTTCTCCCAAGTCTTGTGCTCCCCACCTGCAGGCGGATCCCGGCGATGTCTACGAGGTATGTCGCCGCTGTCGTATTCTTGCTGCTCAGGATAGCTGCATTTAGCACTGCAGCCCCGACACATTCAAGCACCTTCAAGTCAGAGCAGGCCGCGTCGTTCACCTCTGGCAGACAGGCCAGCAGGCTTCTGGCCAGGTCACCACCGCTCGGAAGGTGGTAGAACCCCCTCCCCCCTCCTTCTCCTCCTCCTCCTCCTCCTCCTGCTTCTCTGCCTCCTCCTCCTGCTTCTCTGCCTCCTTCTCATCCTCCTCCCCCTCCCCTTCCTCCTCCTCCTCCTCCTCTCTCCTCCTCCTCCGCTCTCTCCTCCTCCTCCCTCCTCCTCCTTCCTCCTCCCCTCCTCCTCCTCCCCTCCTCCTCCTCCCCTCCTCCTCTCCTCCTCCTCCTCCTCCCCCCCTTCTCCTCCTCCCCCTCCTCCTCCTCATCCTCCTCCTCCTCCGCCTCCTCCCCCTTCTCCTCCTCCTCCTCCTCCTCCTCCTCCTCCTCCTCCTCCTCCTCCTCCTCCTCTTCCTCCTAAGTCGATAAGCGAATTGCCCTTCCTGCGATTCTTTAGACGGTGTTGCGGCCGCATGTTTGCGGGCCTGCGCCAGCCTGGTCGCATCCCGGGATCTTGGTCTCCAAAGGGCGTTTTTTGCTGAAGGGGGTCCTGGTCCGAGCCTGGGGGGATCCATGAGCACCGCTCGGGGGATTGATCGTCGGGGACCTCTCCAGGCATTAGACACATGCATGCATGCATGTATGCATACATACCTACAAAGCACGCGTGCACGCATACAACCATACATACATACGTACGTACATACATACATACATGCATGCATGCATGCATACATACACACATGCATGCATGCATTCATGCCTGTATATATCAATGCACGCATTGATGTATAAATGTGTGCATACACACATGCACGCATACACACGTGTATACATGCACACATGCATACATACAGACATGCATACATACATGCGTGCGCGTATGCATGTATGCATGCATACATGCATACTTGCCTACGTGCATACAGGCACACATGCATACACGCGTACGGCATGCAGTCATGTATGTATGCATCCACGTATAAACACGCATACACGCATGTATGCATACACACATATATACACACGCCTACATAATTACGTACATGCATACATGCCAGCATGCATACACACCTACATACACACATGCGTGCAACACGCATACATGCATACATGCATACATGTATGCATGCAGTCACGCCCAGTCACATGCGTGCATACATACGTGCGTACATGCACACACGCATATGCACATACATACATCTATGGATGCAGTCCTGCACGCATGATTGTACAGCTGCATTCATGCATGCATGCACACATACACATACGTACATACATGCATACATGCATGCATGCATATATATATATATATATATATGCATACACATGCATACATACATATGTTCATACACACATGCATGCATGCATGCATGCATGTATGCATGCATGCATGCATGCATGCATACATACATACACACATACACGTGTAAGTGCGTGCATGCATGTATGCGTACATACATGCAAACCTGCAGCGATATATACATGTATATACACATGTATACATGTGTACGTACGCACACACCTATATGCTTAACCGCCTGCCTACTTACCTACCTACCTACATGCATACATGCATACGCGCATTCACATATGTAGATATGCATGCCCATATCTGCATATACACATCTATTCATACCCATAGCCATATCCATATCCATAACCATATACACCACCCACTGGGGTCCCAGGACTTCGGTTCTCTGGGCGGTGGACACGGACAACATCCCGTCTCGCATCCGTCCATCCCCGAACCAGGACAGGCGGAGGGAGGTGGCCCAGGACTCACAATGGCCTCGTAGCGTTGCAGATGCCTGCCCGCGCGTGCGACTCCCGGCCTCCCAGATCTGGCTTGCAGCGAAGGGGGAGCACCGACCGCTAGTTGCAAGTATTACCCTTTTGAATTCCAAGATTCCAGTATGCGTCAGGTGCCTTCTTATTTCAGTAATTGCGCGGCTTTCCATTCTTCTTCCTCTTCAGGGCCGGCCGGCGGAGCCACAGTCTGTGTTCAGCGCTTCCTGCTTCATTGTTTTCATTCACTTCTTCCGAACCGTGGGCGCATCGAACGGCAAGTATAGTGGAGGTAATTTAACGGTATCCTCCAAGACGTCACACCTCCCAAGTTGCAATCGATGCATCACTAGCGCATGAAGCCCTGCAGAGAGGCCTTGTAGACGGGACGTCAGAGTGACGACCACTTCGGTCTCGGAGTTGGGTCGGGACTCCTCGGGGATCTTCTCCGGCTTTCCCTTCGGCCCTCCTCGGAGATTTGGGCGCTTGGGCGCGAAGTACTCTGGGGCAGGAAATGAGAGGGCTGGGGCCCTTTCGGGCCCGGCAGGGGGCTTCAGGGTCCGAGAAGGGCACCTTTCTTCCCCCCCCCTTCCCATCGATCGTCCCCCTACGATTCTGCGCCCAGCTCCTCTGGCCCTCCTCGGAGATCTGGGCGCAACTGGGGCCAGTGAGGAGCTTCGCACCCTGGCTGCCGGCGGCAAGGCACCCGCCACCGTGGCAGCCCAGAACTCCGACAGGGCACCCGCCCCACCGTGGCAGCCCAGAACTCTCGGGTGCCCCGGCGGCGTTTTGGAGGTGCGGCACGGGCGGCCGTCGCGTGTAGCACCTCGTGCCCCCCACGTCTTGGAGGGCCGTGGTGAGGACGCGGAGGGCGATGTTCTCCGAGTAGGGGGTCGACTGCACGATCGATGTACCCCCAAATGGAGGGTTTCGTCGAATCTGCGTACGTACGTGCAGTGCTCCGCAGATCCCCACGGAGCATCCTGTGCATTTTCAGGAGATTCGATCGAGCAACGTGTTCTGGCGCAAATGAATTCTGTAGTCGATCCCTTGCTCGAGTTTTATTTCCCCTCACCTCGGCCGCATGGAAGATCCTTCTGGCAACCGCGGCGTCCTGACCAGCAGCTTCCGAGAAGGTTCCACCTTCCCACTCCCAGCCGCAAACATTTTTCTCCAGCGCCGCCTGCACGCCAATGGCGAGCGCGACACTATCAGAGGAGGAGCTGATGGCCGCCATGGGGGCCGAGGACGGCTTCGGTTTCGGAGGCGACCCGCCATGCTTTCCGCCCGTGCTCCGTCATGTGCCTGTGAGCGTCGCTGGGAAGCAGGATGAGGAGGAGGATGAGCAGGAGGAGGAGGAGGAGGAGGAAGAGGAGGAGGAGGGGGAGGAGGAAGGAGAGGAGGATGAGGAGCAGGAGGAGGAGGAGGAGGGGGAGGAGGGGACAGAGGGGGAGCAGGGGGAGCAGGAGGGGGAGGAGGGGGAGGAGGAGGAGGAGGAGGAGGAGGAGGAGGAGGAGGAGGAGGAGGAGGAGGAGGAGGAGGAGGAGGAGGAGGAGGAGGAGGAGGAGGAGGAGGAGGAGGCGGAGGAGGAGGAGGAGGATGAGGAGGAGGAGAAGGAGGAAGAGGAGCGGAGGAGGAGAGGGAGGAGGGGGTGGAGGAGGATACGGAGGAGGAGGAGGAGGGAGGAGGAGGAGGAGAGGAAGGAGGAGGGGACAGAGGGGGAGGGGAGGAAGAGGAGTAGTATGATGAAGAGGAGGAGCAGGAGGGGGAGGAGGAGGAGGAGGAGGAGGAGGAGGAGGAGGAGGAGGAGGAGGAGGAGGAGGAGGAGGAGTAGGAAGAGGAGGAGGATGAGGACGAGGAAGAGGAATCTGAGGAGGAGGAGGAGGAGGAAGAGGAGGAAGAGGAGGGGGAGGAGGAGGAAGAGGAGGGGGAGACGGGGGAGGAGGAGGAGGAGGAAGAGGAGGAGGAGGAGGATGAGGAGGAGGAGAGGGAGGATCAGGAGGAGGAGGAGGAGGAGGAGGAGGAGGAGGAAGAGGAGGGGTAGCAGGAGGAGGAGGAGGAGGAGAAGGAGGAGGAGGAGAAGAAGAAGAAGACCAAGGCATCAAGAAGTAAGTACTCGAGGAGCACGCGAGCCACGCCCTCCAGCCGCAGGATCGCCGCGCGGTGTGCGTCTGGTGCGGCGCGCAGCGCGAAACGGCCGCCGACACCACGCCCGGGCAGGCGGGCAGGGATCCGCTCGAGCAGCTCGCGACGGGGTCGGCGCCCGCTGCCCAAAGGCTCCGCGCAGTCCCCCGAACAAGCGCCAGGAAGGCGCGGCCAGCACGGGCGAGAATAATCGCCGTCGCCCCAACACATTTCTTTTTTATCCGCGGGTCGAGAGCGAGCCTCTTCCAGTCGAAGCAAAGCGGGCCGCGCACAGCTTTAATTGACAGGCGGAGGAAAACAGAAGGAGGGGCCTCACGTCAAGGCCAAGAGAGGGCAAAGCCCCGGGATCAGGCGGTGCCGAAGGCGAAGTGCATGCAAAGGAACGCCTTGAACAGGAACCCGGAGGCGAAGTACCGGGAGAGCAAACTGTCGCCCCAACACAGGGTTCCGAACAACAGCGGTGCGAGGGCAGGAGGAGGAGGACGAGGAGGAGGAGGACGAGGAGGAGGAGGCGGAGGAGGAGGAGGAGGAGGAGATGCCCAACCCAAGGTGCGAGGTTGGGCTCACCCACTCGCTTCTTTAGTCAGTCAGGTCTCCCGGGTACCGCCCCCCTGGGCGCAAGACGTGTGGCCGCATGCGAGAAGAATCGAGCCTACATCGTGGCGCTTCGCAACTTCAATCGGCGTCACCCCCACATACTAATACTATGTGTGCGTCGCCCTCCCAATGGGCGACGCGCGCACCGAGAAATCTTATAGTATATGCGTGGTGGCGGGCGCTTTCTGGCCGCACCGCTCGGGAGACGCTGTACTACAAGATGGGTATACTATATGTTCGGGTCAGACGCGCGTCTCTAAGGTGGACGTATATTAGTATGCACTGTGCGTCCCAAGTCAGAGCTGCAAGGAGCCTTGCGACGGGGGTCAAAGTAACCACGGGTCAGCCAGAGCGCCGTATCTTGCAGGAGCCTGCCGGGCCCAGGGGCGCATTGACCCGGGCTTGCGCGCAGGATGTTGCAGGATTCTGCAAGGCCCGACTGACCCAGGTGTTCTGGACGCCCGAGATGGGCGCGGAAAGAAGGGATACAATGCCCAACTTTCTCCTCCTCCTCCTCCGACGACGACGGCGACGACGACGGCGACGACTACGACTGCGTGGCGTGAGGGGCGCGGGGGGCGGGGGGGTCTCGGGCCGTCCAGGGGGGCCGTGCTGGGGCGGAGCTGTGCTGCAGGCCTCGGCGCGGGGTGGGCGCGCAGGGGAGTGAGTTGGGCACCCCTTCCCGCTCCTCCTCCTCCTTGTTCTCCTCCTCCTCCTCCTCCTCCTCCTCCTCCTCCCTCCTCCTCCTCCTCCTCCTCCTCCTCCTCTCCTCCTCCTCCTCCTCCTGCTCCCTCCTCCTCCCTCCTCCTCCCTCCTCCTTCTCCTCCTCCTTTTCCTCCTCCTCCTCCTCCTCCTATTGGCTCCTATTGGCTCCTATGCCGTCTGTCACCGCTGGCCAGTGGCCTGCAATAAAGCGGCGAAAAACAGTGTTGGGAAAAAGGGTTTGAATTAAGTCTGGGGGGGGGATCACGCCGCCTTGGACGCCCAGCCCGACCCACCCCAGACCACGGGAACAGATCTTCCCACGAACTTCTTCGTGCTTGGATCCACTCCTCGCTTCAATATCTTCAAAGACTCCTCTGCGTGGCGGTTGCGCGGACCCCCATGGCATTCGGAGAGGAGGTAGGCACGGGCCCGAGCGCTCGCAAAAGCGCCACAACGCACACACCAAGCAACCTTCCCCCCCATCAGCCACAGACGGTGGCTTCTATGGCTGGTCCGCGCAATCCGTGGAGGCCCACCGCAGGGAAACACAGAGACTGCTGCACGTTTCTTCCCCCTTTCTCCGCAGTGCAGACACATATATGATCCTTTAGCTACGCATTCTACCGCATGGCCCTTCGGGTCGGGGACCAGCTCCAAGAGTGAGGGCTTGGCCCGACGAGGCCTGCGGATTTTTGAAACATCAGGAAACTCACGGGCCGGTAAATCATCCATGATCTCAGCAATCAGCCACGCCGTTTGCTTGATCAGGGGCTCCAAATCTTTAAACCTTCTACGCGTCCGAGGGTTGTGGGGTTGGGCCTGGGCTCCTAGACGAGCCAACTCATCAGCCTTCTAGTTCCCTTGCCATTTCCAGTCTTCAACTCCTAGCCTACGGGCCTGGGTCAGGGAGAGTTGAGACTTAATCTTAGTCACAGTGATCCTATCTATGCCGGTCCCAGAAGCCAACCTAAAGATCTCCACCTAGAGGTCTGAACAAAAATGCAACCTTCTCCAGATCCTGCGTGGGCCCCAGCCTCCAAGTGTCCAAGACGGCCTTGCAATCTGTGACTATCTCCATGGCCTCTGGCCCGGCAAGCCTCATGGCCATCGGCAAAGCAAACACCTCCCCACAGCCACTGGTCTGGACCGCGTGAGGCAAGGGCCCGTACGCCGATCCAATCACATAGCCACCCCAGGAATCCAAGGACATCGACACCACAGCCCAACCAGCCCTGGTGAACTGCGGAAGAGCGGGGTCCAGGCCAGACCCGTCCAGGCAAAGCCTTGGCTCCAGGTGCCCTCCATGAGGATAAACATCAAACTTGTGCCCAGCCACGGCGTACGGCGCTGGCCATTGCCACTCGGGGCTCAGAGCCACAGCGCGGGTTACCAACAACCTATTGGCGGGCGTGCTGTCCAAGGCGAGAAGCTCGCCTACGTCGAGGTCACGGCGGACAACGTCATGGGCTGGGCAGCAGCGAAATCTGTGGCTCGGCGTTCCCAGCTTCTCTCCACAAAGCTGGCAGAGAGGGTCCACATCACGACGATCATCGAACAAGGTGAGCTGAGTGGGGTACCCTCCCGAGACTATCCCAGCGAGCCCCGTAGCAGCCGTGAGCCTTTCTTGGCCCCTGAGCTTCTGGAGGACCTCGATGATGGGCTCCAGCATGGGCCCTCCCGTCAATCCAGGAACCCGCTCCCCATCTCCAAGGCCTCGACGAAGCATATCCCGAACAGCTTGATGCAAGACGGTCTTCAAGGACCTGTATCCCAGGAAACTCACATCAATTTCGACACCCCGAACAGTGACAAACTTACACCAGCGTTTCACCTGCCAGCCTAACCATTCCACTGTAAGAACGACTGCGCCCGCAGGTCCACGGACGTCTTGCCACCCACGAACAGGTCGGCTGCAAAACGAATTGAAACACTCCTGCATGATGCGATGTTCCGCCCACGCCAAGCGCGCGGCTTGCCCCCGCGCAAGGATGGGCAACGCATGCACGTCGTACGATGGGTCCGCCTTGGGCTCCACCGATAAGAGAAACTCCAACGTCCTGCACCTTCCCTTGGGCGTTCCGAAAAGGGCACTTCCGAGGCAAGCTCGGAGCTCACCCAGGTTAGAGGTGGACATCCCATTGACACGGCAACCGTACGTGGCCGAGGGGAGGCCTCCCGTGCGAGCGACTTTGAAGATCCCTTTCTTGGCACTCCTTAGCCCGCGGATCCTTTTACCCCGAAGACGAATCTTGTGGAGGCGCTTTTGGAGGACCTTTGAACCCTTGGCTCCTTTCTGCACAGTCTGGTCGCAGCCCAAGTTCCTGCCCGAGCTGACGCCAGTAAATTTCCACTTCTTAAGCCTAGATGCGATGGTCACCCTCGCCGCCGAGTGACTGCACATAACAAGACCTTTAGCCTGAGAGATGACCAGCAGCAGCTTCTCGAGCAGCAGGCGCAGAAAATGCACGGCGCGAGAGAGAACGCTCTCAACATGTTGCCTGCTGCCTGACACATGGGCCGTGATATCACCCACCACATTGCACAGCCTAACACTCCAGTAGAGCTCCCTGGTGAGGTCCAATGGGTCCATGAACATCACGCGTAGTAAGGTGGTAGCGAACCCACAGCCTGCGAGGACCCCTTGGTGGGGCAGCGCTGGGGCCCCCACAACACCACACACATGGATGATCCTACGTCCACGGTAAAGCGACAGCAGCAGGCGGAGTCTCACGATGTTAAACTTGTGCTTGACGGCCGCGACGGCCAGCAGATAATGGCAAACCTTCTCGTGCGCCTTCGTCAAGTCCACGAGGCAGGCG